GTGTTGAATAGCAAAATTAATAACAGACATCTTAACTATGATTTTAAGGTTTTTCTTATCCATGAAACCAAATATTAACCATAAAAAGCCTGACTCAAACTGCAAAAGCCTGCCAGAAACTGTTCTACAGCAATGTAAATTTGTCTTACCCTGCTAGAAAAATATAGTTGTCAAATCATTATCTCCTAATTAAAATCTCAAAAAGCCTCATGGCAGCAGGTGGGCAGAGGACCAAATTATTAGCAGCCAGGCCAGAAGTAACCTATATCACTAAAGGGGGAAGGCTGGGTTCAATCGATCACGTTAAGATTAGCCAATGGTTCATCGTCTATATTTCTCCCTCCTCCTCTCTTTACAAGTCCTGGTGGTGCAGTGGTTAAGGGTTACAGCTGTTAACCAAAAGGTCAGCAGTTCAAATCCACCAATCGCTCCTTGGAAACCCTATGGGGCAGTTCCACCCTCCTCTATAAGGTCACTATGAGTTGGAATCGACTTGTCAGCAACGGGTTTGCTTTTTTTGTTACTTTGTTTTCTTCTCTTTATAAGCCTCACTGTACCTAGCTTCTTCGACCCATCTGCTTTCTCTAGAATCAGAATGGCCTCCCTATATGCATACAGAACAACTGTTCAGATTAAACCTTAAACTCAATTTTCAGTGAGTTTTAATTATTTTAACAGCAGCATACTAAAAGCATCTCCAATCTGACTAAAGCTATTTTATTTTTTTAATAATATTTCAATGTTTTAGGTGAAAGTTAACACAGCAAATTATGTTCCCCTTTGACAATTTTTATACAAACTGTGCCATGACATTGGTTACAGTTTTTATAATGTGTCAGCATTCTCTTTATTTCCATTCTGTTTGTTCTGTTTCCACTGATGTAGCTTCCCTTCCCCTCCTTGCCTTCTCATCTTTGCTTCTGGGTAACTGTTGACAGCTTGGTCTCCTACAGTAAATTGTCTAAGAAAGCACACTACTCATGAGTGATATGGTTTATTTTATAAGCCAATCTATTATTTGGCTAAAACGTGACCTGTAGAAATAGCTGCAATTCCAAGTTCAAAGAGTATCTTAAGGCAATATCAGGGGTTCCTCTAGTCTCTATCAGTCTAGTAGTCTAGTCTTTTTTTTTTTAGGAATATGAGTTTTGTTTTACATTTTTCTCCCATTCAATCCATGACCTTCTATTGTGTCCCTGGTCAGAACATCAGTAGTGGTAGTCAGGAACCATCTAGTTCTCCTGTGCTCAGGTATGAAGAGTCTGCGGTTCGTGTGGGCTATTTGTCTCGTGGACTAGTTTCTTCTTTGAGCCTTTGATTTCCTTCATTCTCTTTTGCTCCATACAAGGAGAGACAAATAGCTGTATCTTCGTTGGCCGCCCACAAGCTTTTAAGAGTGAAACACTACTCACCAAACTCCGGTGTAGAACATTATCTTTGTGAACTATGTTATGCCAGTTGACTAAGTTGTCCCCGACACTATGATCCCAAGCCTTTTGGCCCAGTAAACCAATCATGCAGGTTGTCTGGCTATGTCTAGGAAGTCTCCATAAGTGTGCCTGCCCCCTATGTGGTGTGTTATATATGTAGATATATATGCAATACACACAAACGTGTGTATGTATATATGCCTACAGATACACCTATATATGCACATGCATTTACTCACTGTCACGGATTGAACTGTGTCCCCCCAAAACGTGTGTCAACTTGGCTAGGCCATGATTCCCAGTATTGTGTGGTTGTCCACCATTTTGTGATCTGATGTGATTTTCCTATGTGTTGTAAATCATACCTCTATGATGTTAATGAGGCAGGATTAGAGGCAGTTATGTTAATGAGGCAGGACTCAATCTACAAGATTAGGTCGTGTTTTAAATTAATCTCTTTTGAGATATAAAAGGAGAACTGAGGAGCAGAGAGACGTGGGGACCTCATACCACCAAGAAACAAGAGCCAGGAGAACGGCGCATCCTTTGGACCCGGGGTCCCTGTGCTGAGAAGCTCCTCGACCAGGGAAGATTGAAGACAAGGACCTTCCCCCAGAGCCGACAGAGAAAGGCTTCCCCTAGAGCTGGCACCTTGAATTCAGAAGCTACCCTCCTAGACTGAGAGAATAAATTTCTCTTTGTTAAACCCATCCACTTGTGGTATTTCTGTTTTAGCAGCACTAGATAACTAAGACACTCACATGTCTTCCTATACACATATATGCATCCATATCTACATACGTAACCACACGCATATTTTTTGGTTGTTTTTACTGTTGTTACAAAATTGTGTATGTTATAGCATTTACTGAAATTGTCCCTTTTTCTCATGTACATCTTACTATATTTACCTTCGTCAAGTTGTGTTTACTTCACTCATATTTGGGATCGCCTTTCCCATCACCAAAAGTAACAAGTGTCTACTATCTAGAAAGTGATTTCCCCTATCTTTCTCTCCCATCCCTGGTAACCATCAAAGAACTTTGCTTTCTGTGTGTATATCTATTTCTACTTTTTGTAATAGTGGGACCATACAATATCTTTTTGTGATTGACTTATTTCACTCAGCATAAGGTCCTCCAGGTTCATCCATGTTATAAGATGTTTCACAGGCTCTTCATTATTCTTTATAGTTGTGTAGCAGCCCATTGTATGTATGTACTACAATTTATCCATTTATCCATTGATGGGTACTTAGGTTGTTTCCATCTTTTTGCTATTGTGAATAATGCTGCAGTGAACATAGGCATGCACATGTATATTCGTGTCATGCTCTTATATCTCTAGGATATAGACCTAGGAGTGGGATTGCTGGATCATAAAGTATTTCTATTTCTAGCTTTTTAAGAAAGCGTCATACTGCTTTCCATACTGGTTTACCATTTTACAATCTCACCAGCAATGTACAAGAATTCCAAGCCCCCCACAACCTTGCCAGCATTTGCTGTTTTCTGTTTTTTTGATCAGTGCCATTTTTGCAGGGGTGAGATGGTATGTTGTTATAGTTTTGATTTGTATCTCTCTAATGTCTAATGGGAACCCTGGTAGCAAAGTGGTTATGAGCTTGGCTGCTAACCAAAAGATCAGCAGTTCAAATCCACCAGCTGCTCCTTGGAAACCCTATGGGGCAGTTTCACTCTGTCCTATAGGGTCGCTGTGAGTCAGATCCAACTCGACGGCAATGGGTTTGGTTGGTTAATGGCTAACGATCACGCATCTTTTCATGTATTTGTTGTCCTCTTTGGTGAAGTGTCTGTTCATGTCCTCTGCCCATTTTCTGATTGGTTTGTCTTTTTGTTGAGTTGCTGAAGTTTTCTATATATTTCAGAGGTTATGTCCTTACCAGATATGTGGTTGCCAAAGATTTTTTCCTAGTCTGTAGCTTCTCTTTTTACCCTCTTTTGATGAGTATAAATATTTAATTTTTAGGAGGTCCCAGTTATCTAATTTATCTTCTGTCATTCATGCATTTGTAGTTTTGTTTGATAGACTATTTATGGCAAAAATTAGGTATCCTAGTTTTGACCCTATGATATCTTCCAGGAACTTTATAGTTTTAGATTAAACATTTAAGTCTTTGATCCATTTTGAGTTAGGTTTTGTGCCTGGTGTGGATCCCGATTAATTTTTCTTCATATGGATACCCAGCTTTGCCAGCACCATTTGTTAAAGAGACTGTTTCCCCACTGAATGGACTATGACCCTTTGTCAAAGATCAGCTGCCTGTAGATGGATGGACTTACTTCTGAGTTCTCAATTCTATCCCATTGGTCTATGTGTCTGTCACTGAATCAGTACCAGGCTGTTTGATTACCGTGGCTGTACAGTAAGCTTTGAGACTGGGAAGTGTGAGGCCTCCTACTTTGTTGATGAAAGCTATTTTAAATGGTTTGTTCAAAACAAGACTGCAGGGGTGAGATGGTATCTTGTTATAGTTTTGATTTGCAACTGTCTAATGGCTAATGGGAACGTTGGTGGCAAAGTGGTTAAGAGCTTGGCTGCTAACCAAAAGATTGGCAGTTTCGATCCACCAGCCACTCCTTGGAAAGCCTATGGGGCAGTTCCACTCTGTCCTATAGGGTCGCTATCAGTCAGAACCAACTCGACAGCAATGAGTTTGGTTGGTTAATGGCTACTGATCACAAAATAAAGCTATGTTACACTTTTAGGAGCCTTTTTAGAGGGCAAAAATATTACTACAAAGTTGAAATTTTAAGCCATTAAATCAATTACAAGACTTCTACAACAGAAATCACTCATTCAAAAGGAGGATGCTTGACTTAGTCCATATTGTGCTATCATATCAAAATGAGTTTTCAAAGAAAAAAAAAGATGTATATGTTTAAATGCAGCACAATTTTATTTTAAAATTTTCAATTATTAAATGTATAATTAGAAATACAAAATTTAAACTTTATAAATATCAAGGTAATAAAAAAAATATAAGTAACAAAACAATTTTTCTCTCAAAAATTATATACCAGTAAAATACAGGAATGTTATAAAGGGTATATTAAAAATATTTATTATTAATAAATACCATAAAAGTTGAAATTTCTAATTGATAGTCTATTTCCCAGTACACTGCTTTTTTTTTTTTAATAATCCTTGACGTATAAGGTATAACTTTATTATGAGATTGGATAAGCAGTTATACCTCATACTCTTTTAATAAATTATTCTAGAGTTAGTTAGCTAGATTTTTAAAAATAATTTCATTGCACCTATGACAATTCTTTGGATAAATTTGAGGATATCCTCCTAGGAGAAAAATCAAGAGAAACACCATTTTTAAACTGTGAAAAGAGAAATTAACTGTAAAGGAGAAGTAGGAATCTAGTTTTAGTCCTTGTTATAGAATTGTGTTATCCTGATGAAGTTACTACACTCTGTGCTTTGGTTTCCTTGTCTTAAAATGAAGAGCTTAAACTAGACAATATCCACAAATCTGCACAGTTCTAAAACCTTTACGATTGTATTTTTAAAAAGTTTTTAAACTTTAAATCTCACCTCATCTGAAGAATCTACTTGGCCCAAGGTTCCTGTTGCACCCGCAAAACCTTTTGGAGGGGAAAAAAAAGTTGCCCTTCAGAGTTGCTATATATTCCTTTACTTTAAAATTATTTTGACGCAAACTATTAAAATAACAAAATACAAATATCAGAAAGCTAAGTTTTGATTTGTTAGGACACCTCATTCAAAAGCTATCTTGGCAGAGTTCACATCTTGAATAAATTTAGACCTAACAGGTTTTACTTCAATAGAAAATTTCCAGTGAATATCCAAATTTAATAATTACAAACGGTATTTCAGAAGGATCGTTTTTTAAACTATGGTTACTAAAATAATGAGTAACTAGAGTTTTGGGCTACTCTTGAATAGTAATTGCCATATTTTTCATAAGTTGGAATGAGAACCTTAATAAGCTAACCAAATTCCAATTAAGAAAAAATGCACCCTCTTCTTTGGCTGATTTATTCTTTCTTGTCTCTAAACTATCATACTTTACTACTCTCCTTACAAGAACGACACTGTCTTAGTTCAAAATAAACGTTCTTCAATAATGAGCAAACTTTGAGGGTTTTTTGTTTTAATATAGAAAAGTCACTATTGTTCAAATTAAATATTTGGACAAACCTTGAACTGCCAGAGTGCTAGTGCCAGCAGATGGCTCCTGCATACCATATATAAGCTTATCCTCAGGATATGTAAGTCCAGAGCTCTTCAAAGCTATAAGATACTTTTCATGACTTTTCTTTGCATAAGTATTTTCTCCAAGACCTAATATTTAAAACAAATTTAAAATAAGAAAAAAATTATTCCATTCAAAATCTAAATACAGGCATCTCATTAGTTAATATATACAAATATAAATACAGCTAATTTATACATGAGGGCAGTGATGGTTCAGTGGAAGAATTCTCGCCTTCCATGCCAGAGCCTGGGTTCGATTTCCGACCAATACACCTCAGGCACAGCAACCACCTGTCTCTGAGTGGAGGCTTCAGTGTTGCTATAATGCTGAAGAGGTTTCAGCAGAGCTTCCAGACTTAGACGGACTAAGAAAAAAGGCCTGGCGATCTACTTACAAAAATCAGTCAGTGAAAACCCTATGGATCATAACAGTCTGATCCTTAACTGATCATGTGAATGATGCAGGGCTAGGCAGCAATTCGTTCCGCTGTGCATGGGGTTGCCACAAATCAGAGCCCAACTCAATGGCACCTAATACCAGCAATTTATACATATCTAAAATAGCTATAGAGCGGGAACCCTAGAAAGGATTATATAAAATAACTTCAGATAACGTTTTTGTGCTTACATCTGGCATTAACTGTCTCAGAATATACAGCATGTTTATAACAAATACATGTAGTCCCCGACTTACGACGTATACGACGTATTCGAGTTACAACCACACTTGCAACTGCCTTTTTTTGTACATCTTATTAGTAATATGTTCTACATACAATGTTGCAGCGTGTAATTTGCTGATGTTATTGTTCTCAGACGTTCACTTGCAGACTTTCAGTGTTATGACTTACTGTTCAAAATACTGCTGTACAGCAGGCAATAATGTAAACTAAAAAAAAAAAAAAAGAGGTATTCGACTTATGTCAGAACCAACTTATGACGGAGTTGTCAGAACGGAACCCAGTCATAAGTCAGGGACTACTCGCAGTAAAGTCTACTATATAACTGAGTATCTAAAATATGCCAGGGACTATATGTAAGACACAGGGCTGCAAAGATGAATAAGGCATGATCTCAGTCTTCAAGGAACTTGAAGTTTACTGGTAGAGAAAGTCAGACAGATAACATGGTAGATGACAATTATGTGGCTGACTTCATTTCATTTGACAGTCTGTGCTCTCGAAATACCAAGTAGCCAGACTTGGCCATAACAGAGTATTAGGAAAGGCTTCCTGAAGGAAATAATGTCTAAGTGGGATTTTCAAAAATAAGTAAGAGTTAACATAGTGCAAAAAGTCACCAAAATTGTTTCAGTTAAGTCTTCTGTTTTTAGTTAGGTCTTCTGAAAATAGCATGAGCAAAGGCTCAAAAAACTCTAAACCTTTAAAAGTATAACTCTTCTCTAATTGTAATTTTAAAGATCTTAGTTAAGAAAAAAACACCAAGAAAAAAAAAAAAAAAATCCATTGTTGTCGAGTCGATTCTGACTCATAGACCCTACAGGACAGAGTAGAACTGTCTTAACCACTGAGCCACCAGGGTTCCAAGTTAGGAAAAGGTCATTTAAAGTTTCAATTATTAATAAAATATATTTGAATATTAATAAAATATTCAAATACAAATAAAAGTAATGAGATTACTTTTAACTCATTTTACCAAGATTTTTATCACATTTAAGGAATTAAAAGTATAACTTCTATAGAAGTATCAGTTAAGATAAATTTATTCCAAAAAATATTCAAATGCTGAGGTTCTATAATTGAACAATCATAGAACTTTCATTTTAGAACTTCAGCTTAGTAATTATTGCGATTTTTTTTTCTTTTTTTTTAAATAAATTATGCAGGACAGAATAACAGTAAGAGTAAAACAGATTGATGTTTGGGAGTTCTTTGAAAGAAAAGAATTATTCTCTTTCTGAGAGCTGAATTCCCATATAGCATTTGCCATCTCTTAAGTAGGTTAGGTGGCATAGTGGTTAAGAGCTACGGCTGCTGACCAAAAGGTTGACAGTTCAAATCCACCAGGTGCTCCTAGGAAATCATATGGGGCAGTTCTACTCTGTCCTATAGGGTTGCTATGAGTCAAAATCGACTCGAGGGCAATGGGTTTGGTTTTTTGTTTTTTTTTTTTTTTAAGTAGGTTATGTATCTTAAATAAGGTTTCAATCTAATTCTACAAATATATAATTAAGTTTCTTTCTTTAGTATCTGCTGACCTCTTCTGTGTTTTCACTTCAACCACACTAACCTTTTAGTCCCTGAAAAAAAAGTAAGCTGATTCTTACTCATAAATATTCTCACAAATTGGTTCCTCTGTCTAGAATCTATGAGGTGCCTATGTGTGATTTTTTGTTTTTAATCCTGTTTGGAATTCATTAAGCTTCATTAATCTGTAAGTCAATGTTTTTCATTCAATTTAGAAAGTTTAGTCATTATTTCTTCAAATATTTTTTTCTGCCTCGTTCCCATTCTCTTTTCCTCCTGGGACTCCAATTACATCTATGTTAGATCTTCCAATACCGTCTAATAGTCCCTGAGGCTCTGTTGTGCTTTCTTCATTTGCTTTTCTCTGTTCTCTAGACTGGATAATCTATTGATCTGTCTTCAAATTCACTAACTCTTTCTTCTGTCATCTCCAACCTGCTGCTAAGCCAATCCAGTGAATTTTTCAGTACAGCTATTGAATTTTACAATAACTTCAGTTCTAGAATTTCCATTTGGTTCTTTCTTATTGTTTACATTTCTTTGCTAAGATTCCCTATCTTTTCATGCAGTAACATCATATTTTCTTTAACTCTCTGGGCATGTTTTCCTTTAAATATCTGAATATAATAGTCGCTTTAATGTCTTTATCTGGGTCATCTCAAGGTTGATTTCTACTGACTATTTGTCTTGACTATAGAGCGCAATTTTTCGTTTTCTTGCATGTCTAGTAATTTTTATTGTATATTAGACATTCTAATGACATGTTATAGAAGATTCTGGATTCTGTTACCTTCCTCTTTAGAGTACTGATTTTTGTTCTGAAGGCAGTTCAATTATAGGCTGATCACCTAGAACTCATGAAGGCTTTGTTTTAAACTTTGTTAATGGCAGATACGTGGAAAACCTAAGGTGTCCCCAGGGCCCTCTAAATTGTCGGAATCATCTCCGAACTCTGTCTCCTTCGCAGACATTGTCAGGGTTTTATACTTATTTAGAATAGACCTTACTCTAGGGCTTGGGCATTACTCCTAAGATTTGGCATACTGGTGTCTCAGCTAGATGTCTGAGGTATTAACAAGGTCTCTCCAAGCTGGCTGGGCTGAAACACTAATGTCCCCAGTATCACCTGACCTCTAATCTCTGTTCTGCTTTCAACCCTGTAGTAGTCACTCTATAGTAAGCCTCAGGTAGTCTCATCCTATCCATGTGTTCTCAAGCAAAGACTTTAAGGGGACAACCACACATCTGCCTTACCACCTCTCTAGTGTACTGCCCTATATATTCTATAAATTTCAACTGCCTCAGCTGACCCAAACTCTGATAACTGTTTCCTCAGCTCAGTGAGACCACCATAGCTCTGTTTAGATGCCATCTTGCTACATTATAGTCAGGAAGTTCTCCCCAGACAAACAGCCAGAGCAATCACAGGCCTCATCTCTTGCTTTCCCTTCTCTCAGGGTACAATGGCTAAAAACATGTCTTACATTCTGTCCAGTTTTATGTTGTTTACAACAGAAGGCCTAGTCCAGTAGCCAAAAGCAGAAGAACCCTCCCCCACTCCAGCTGGAATCTAACCCTGTCCCATTACCACCCAACTCCCCTCACCCTCTAGTTAAATGACTTCCTCTCAACCTTTACGTTTTTCCTTAAATATCACTTCCTCAGCAAAGCTTCTGCACCGCTCCCTACCAGTGAAATTAGGTCTCCATTTTATAACCACTTGTCCTACCTTTTCATCACATTTACTATAAATTATAATTACACAATCTTTGCTTTCGGATTTTATTAATGTCATCTCACTCACAAGACCATATGCTCATAACAGCGGGGATAGGAGTACCTGGCTTACTGCTAACCTTTCCCACTCCAACCAACAGTGCCTAATCCAGAGCAAAGCACATAGTAGGTGCTTAGTAAGTATTCATTAAAGAAATAAATATATCAAATAAGACTATCTCTAAATAAGACATGATAAACAATAAACATGAAAATTTTACTAACCTAAAAAAATATGCTGAAATTGAATTTTCAAAACACATTGTTCATGGCCCAGGAAATATTTAAAATTATTTATAACAAGATTTTTAAATAACTGGTATATTTATTTTACTATAAATTTAAGCAACTAAAGGTGTAGAAACTATTTTGTATAACAACATACCATGTACACAAACATTCAACAATTCCAAGTTTTATAACTTCAACTCTATATTATTATATAAGACAACCCAAAAGTTTAGAACCAGAAATGAAGATCTAGAAGTAGTTGTTGTTACTGTTCGCAGAAAGGGAAGTAGAGTATAATTATGAATATGTTACACCAGATGCGAGGAGACTGGGTTCTAGTTCCAACCTCAACATAAATTGGTTGTGAGGTCTTGAACAGGTCATTTAACTTTCCTGGAGCTCAGATTCCTCATCCATAAAATAAGTTCTTTTAATAACTTCCAGCTTTAGCATTCTATGAAAAATCTATATTTTTAAGTTCTAAAATATACAATTTCTTATGATTATAGTTAAATAGGTAAATTACAATACTTTCTTCTATTCTAATATTTTACTTACCAGAAGTCAGATCTTTGTAGTTTTGTTGGTTTGTCAAAACCTGAGTAAGAACAGACCTCATTGCTCCTCCCATTTTAGTTAGGTCTTCTAAAAAGGAAATTTGAGGTTCCAAAAGCTGAAGGACTTTGTTAAGGTCTTTTTCTGATGGTACATCAGCTGCTAAAGAAACAAGTAATTAAGGGTAACTTTCTTTATAAGAGTTTGTAAAAAAATAACAATTATTATTCTTTTAAAATTACAGTGGCCTAGGTGACAGTATTTTACAATAAAAAAAAAATCAATTTAAGAACTGTTTAGAAAGTTGGCATCAGCCCAGCACCCAACCTAGGGCAAACTTGCTCAGGAACTCAGTCCTCTGAGAAAAGGGAAATGGGGAAAAGAGGAGATGACCCCATAAGATATTCAGTACTTAATTTGTTTAAGAAGCAGTAGGGTTAAAGGTTCTAAACTTCCAGATATATAAACATAATCAAAGACCATTTCAAAATAAGATAGTGTTTAAGAAAAAGTTAAGATCACCCCCTAGAATAAAACAAGATAGAACTCAAATATATCAAGATTAGTGTATTAGGACAAAATTATTTCAGCTTTAAATTTAAACCTGTGCAGCAAATATCCCACTCCTTATCATATTGAAAAAATGTAGACTCATGTTAGCTGAAGGCCAAAGCAACTAAAATAAAAGATAACTGTTCTCATAAAAATGGATATTTTTACTAAAAGGAAAAAATTCTAGCGAAGGTATATTTAGTAGAATTGGAGAGAGAGATAAGAAACTTGGACAGCAACTGAGAAACCATGTTAAAGATGAAAAGAAAAAGAGATGTTTCAGAGAAACTGAAGATTAAAAGGAAGTGAACAGAGAAATTTAGAGTTTAGCTATTATCGGTTAAAAGAAAAATACATATAATGGAGACAAAAGGGGATCTGTGTGCCCAGGTAAAGGGATATCAAGTTCATTCAACATTTACTCAGCATCTACTACATTATAAGCACTGAGGCAAAAGTAAATAAGACATAGTTCCTACCCCAAAGAAGTCAAAATCTAGTTCAAAGATAATATGTGAATGGAATTCTAGATAACTCTGAGTCCTGGGACTCAAACCAAAAAAAAAAAAAAAAATTTACTTTCTCAGTGGAAATAGGATACTTATACTACATTTGATTTTAAAATTGATTTTAAACAAAATGTAAATGTCCAAAAAGTGTGTTAACTAGTTCATGAGAAATAATGTGGAAGGCAATTCCAATAACCTAGCTGGTATTTTTTTCCATCATTCCAAAGAAACAATAGTTTGGGACTAAATCATATTATTATTTCTGTCTATATTTTAAGTTATACACTCCTAAAGGACTAGAAGTACTTAACAAAGGATTGTACAGTTTGCTTAAAATGTAGAAATAAGGAAGTATAATGGTTTGCTCACAATAAAGAACACAAGATAGTTTCAGAAATGATGAATATGTTCTATATTTCCTCACAATTTAAGGATGAAGGATAGATAAAAGATAAAAATGTGTGCCATATTTTAAAAATAAATTTATAAGATTATTTATAGAATTAAATAATTCAAATCTCTAAAAATAATGCAAAAATGCAATCCCATATATGATGAACATGCAGGAATCATTAGAAAGGTAAAAGGCATCATAAGAAGTTAATAAATGTGTACTGTACCACTAATTGATAATCTGTAATTCACGATGTCAGCCTGAGAACTTAATAGATCATACCTAAATCCACATATTAAACTAAAGTATATTAATCTAGATTGCAACTACATCTTAAAAGGCTAAGACCTGTAATTTGAACTTTTCTTTTGTCTTTTTAATACTAATATAATGCTTACACCAATACCTATCACCAGTATGAGAGTGAGCAATCTAACCCTCTCATAAGTTTCATAAGTTGCTTTGTGTGTGTGTGTGTGTGTGTGTGTGTGTGTGTGTGTGTGTGTGTTTAACTGTTGTTGTTAGATACCATAGAATCGATTCCAAATCACAGTGACCTCACTGACAGAGTAGAACTGCCCCACAGGGTTTTCTAAGCTGTAATCTTTACAGGAGGAGATCGCTAGGTCTTTCTCCCAGAGGGCCGCTGCATGGTTTGAACCATGAACCTCTCAGTTAGCAGCCGTGAGCTTAACTGTTGTGTCACCCGGGATCCTTATTAAATATAAAGATATATTAAAACCTCTACCAAAAATAATATTAATAATGAAGATTGGTGAAATGTAATTTATCTTCTAAAAAAACTAAGTTAAATGTAAATATTTCCAAGACTTAATTCTGCTCTATCATCATATGATCCCAAATAAAGTCATTTTAATTCCATAAAATGATTATTTTTTCAGTTGCAAAAGGCCAAGTAAGTCTAACCAAAAACATCTAAGACCCTAGGACCAGCTAGCATCAGACTATACCTACTACAAGGTACTTATGCAGTTATATAATTAATTTTTCAGTGTGTTTTCATGCAGTCTCTGTATTTTATAGTCTTCTCATTAAAAATGTTAAGCAAGAAGTGGTATTTGAAAGAATTAACTTTATTATTAATACTAAAACTTTGTTACTTGGGAACTTAAAGTACTGACAAGGAGTGGATTAAAACATACCTGGTTCATTATAGCCTTCTCTTAAGTACTGAATAAGACAAAAAATAAATCTTGGAAGAACAAATTCAGACATCATCAGTAAATCTTTGGGGACACAGGGAATATTTGAACTTGATTTAATTTGATGCCTTTTGCAAAACCTGTAATATGAAAAAGAAAAAAAATTAACAGTAATGTCTAACCTGCCAAGAATATATTACTTCTATTCACAATATTCAGGCCAGTATCAAAGCTGATAAATTGCTCCTTTCTGATTTTTAAGGCACCAAGTTAAAAGAATGTAGTTTTAATCGGTCTTTAAATAAAAAATGGCACTGAGTAAGTCTTTTCATAATAAAAGACCATACCATACCAGTTAGGTTCCAATTAGAATACAAAAAGAAATTTCATTACAGAATTTGGATATTTTTAACTGCCAATTACTACTTTCAAGTCCTGCTTGATTATTTTCTAGCCTTTATAAACCATTAAATACAAACTTATCAATTCCCAAGAATTTGCATTTTCGAGTCTTTAACTCAACTATTTCTGATTTATTGCACTAATGAATAAATGATCTTAAAAACGTTTATTTTAAAAGTTTATTCTCTCAAGTGTACAGTATATTGCTTCTAATCTTGCTTATGCCTATTTTAAAGTATAATTGGTGTACCTGAGCAAAAATGAAGTAAACTACAATCAAAATTCAAATAATCACTATTAAGTTATTTTGTGGCCAAACACAAAATAACCAAACTAATTCTATAAAATGTTTAAAAACAAACTTATTAGGAAGGGTGCAAAACCACTTTAGCTTAAATATATGTATATATATTTAAATAAATAAAGAAAAACTACACTCTCAACTAGAAAGACTTAATTTTATTTTAAAAAAACAGGGGGGTTAGTTCTCTCCAAACTTATGCCATTAGATTTAAATCCCAATGGAATTAACTCACGAATCAATTTCTAAGTTCAAATGGAAGAGAATATGTGTGAAAAAATTAACAAAACTTGAAAAAATGATTAATAATGGTAAACTAAACCTTAAAACATAGTACAAAGCTACTGTAATTAAAACTCTGTGATAAAGTGAAAATATCAACTGACAATTTCAGCAACTACTCCGTGGTAGGGGGGAAAAGGAGGTAAAAGACCACTCTAGACTGAAAGAGGCTTGAAACTAAAGGCAAACAATTTGTTACATATATATTTACCACAATAAAAATAAAAAATAAAAAAGGCTTGAGAGACCCAGGAACAACCTGTAATGTGTGAACCAATTCTAAAAAACCAAAAACTCACTGCCATCGAGTCGATTCCAACTCATAGCGACCTCATAGGACAGAGCAGATCTGCCCCATAGGATTTCCAAGCTGTAAATCTTTACAGAAGCAGACTGCCGCATCTTCCTCCCACGGAGCAGCTGGTGGGTTCAAACCGCCGGCCTTTTGGTTAGTAGCCTAGTGCTTTAACCACTGTGCAACCAGGGCTCCTTAATCCTAACAAACTAACTTTTAAAAAGCATTTTTATATAATCGGGAAAATCTGATTATGAGCTGGATACTAATTCATTAGAGATAATTCTATTAAGTATGATAATGGCATAGTGGTTATATAAAAAATGTTCAAAAATATTTGATGATATTAAGGAATTACTTTGTGTAGGTGTAACAACAACAGCATTGTGATTATCAATGAAAAGGGAAGTCCTTGTCTTTTAAATATATATATTGAATATCTTCAGATGAAATGCTTCAAAATAATCTGGTAGGGTGGAGGGGAGTAAGTAGGAGTATATCAAGACCATCTATGAATTCTTAATTGTTGAAATTGGGAGGCAGTTACATGGGATTTCATTATATTATGTTCAGAACTTTCCACACTAAGAAACCTAAAAATTAAAGACAGAAAATACACATATATTTTTAAAGATGCATACTGAATCATGACGAGGTGAAATGACATGATGTCTGGGATTTGCTTTAAAATACTTCAGTATAGGAGAAGAAAGGATAGAAGAAGCATAGGTGGCAAGAAATTTTCACTATCACACACAGGAATACAGATGGGCCCAGTTTTTGATGACACCTTGGCAAGATCTATAAAAATATTACATGTTCATACTCCTAGCGTAGCATTTCTATTTCTAGTAATTTATAATTCAGAAATACTCCTAAATATTCAAAACATTTATGTACAAAAAAAGATGTTCATTGTATCAGTTTGCAATGCAAAAAAGTTAGAAACAACTCAGGTGTTCGTTAACAGAGGAAAGGTTAACCAAATTATGGTAGCTCTATAAAATGAAGTACTTTACATTTGTTAAAAAGAATGAGATATGACTTCCAGCAACATGGCGCTCTAGGCAGAAGCACCACACCGTCCCTCCACAGTAAAGATCCGAAAAACTAAGCCAAACAGAGGAAACAGCAATCCTGAAACCCTAAACATCAAATGAAGAGATAGAGAACTCAGCCAAGCATCAAATGGAATAAGAAACTGACAGAGAACAGAGAGCAAGGAGACATACATGCAGAGGTTCCCTATCAGCTAACGCAGCACGGATCCGCCATCTTGGACTCCTATCATAGATCAGCGAACGGGGAGTATGAGAAAGCAGCTTCACGGAGCTTCCAGCAGGAGACAGAATAACCGGTAACCAAAGATATACGCTTTCCCACCCCCCACCCTTCTTCACCCCTACTCAGCCTTCCTCTGCTTCCTGCAGCCACAGTCTCTTGGATTCCACCCGCCCACACTGGCCGACTCCCTGAGTGCCATTTGGTGGCTGCTGGTGTCGCTTTTTTCCACTTCTTCTGATTTCTTCCTTACCTCTCACCACCTCTCCCTTTCGCTCAAATACCTGGCTCCATGTGCCATCTTTGCTTCTTCCTGAGGGGCTATGGTGCTCCGCTCGAGTGTGGAATTGCTTCCTGGTCCGTGCTGCCACACTGGTGGGATCCCAGAGCTTTTGGTTTGTTTGTTTGTTTTGAACTGTTTGTTTGTTTTCTTTTCCTTTTGTCAAGTTTGGAGCCCGTTCTGGCCGGGCACTGCTGCGCGGCTTGGGACCTACCCCCTCACCTTACGCAGACATGCAGAGGGATCTCTGAGAGCATTTCTTTTTTCATGTTTTTTTTTGGTATGTGTGTCTTTTTGGGTGTTTTTCTTGTTCTTTTTCTTTAATTTGTTTTCTTTTCCTTCTTGTTCCCTTTTTGTCTTTCTTCATTATTCAGTTTCTCGTCTCTTCCTTCTCTTCCTGTTCCCTGAATACCTGGCGATGAGTGACACCTCTATGCCTCCGAGCCAGGCTGTACTTCAACACCTGGGAACAACCTCCCCAGACCTCGCAGCTGCACCTGTGGGATCCCTGGGGGCTTTTCTTTGCTTTTTTCTTTCTAAGTTTTATTTATTCATTCTTTTCTTTTTTTCTTCTTCTTCCCCTTTTTGTTTTCCTTCCTTTCATAGTCTCTCATCTTTCCACTCCAATGGCAAACTCCTCTAGCACTCTTTTTTGTTTGTTTGTATGTTTTTGGCTCTTGTTCCTCTCTCTTCTCTCCCATACCCACCTTAGCTCCACACATCACAATCTCCCCCCTCCATCCTGTCTACCTGCACCGTGCACTTAACATCACACCACCAAGCAGCACAGGCACGGCCTACTGAAACCTGCCCTGCACACTGATTACCGACCCGCCCTGGTGGTTGTAGTAAGTGCCACGAACAACCCATCCCAGCAACTCCTCTTCAGCTAGACCTGTCCTGGAGCAAGTGACCCTGCGAATTGGAGATGGAGGCAAAAAGTGTCGCGCCCACAGACGAGCAAACAACAAAGTACACACAGCCCGCCTGCTCAGACATAGCTAAATTTAAAAAAAAAAGGATGAAACAAAAAAATCTACAATCAATAAACAAGAAAAATAACTACTGAATGCCCTGAAAACAGCAGACAATATCAAAACATTTACAAACAGGACAGGATGGTTCCAGTAGGCATCCAAAATAAAACATCAGATGACTTTCCAGTAGAAGAAAAGGCACCAGAACTACCTGATAGGGAATTCAAATCCCTAATACTCAGAATTATGCAAGAGTTGAAGCAAAAAAAAGAAAAAACGAGGAAAAAACAGACAAATTCATGGAAAAGGCAGACAAAAAAACGGAAGAATTCAGAAAAATTATGCAGGAACAAAATGCCAAAATAAATTCACAACTAGAAACTATACAAAAACAACAATTAGAAATCCAAAAGATAAACAAGAAGATTTCAGAAATGGACAGTGTTATAGAAGGGCTGAGGAGCAGATTTGAAACGGTGGAAGACAGGATCAGTGGAATTGAAGACAAACAGTTGGATACAACTCTGAGGAAAACTCAGAAAAAAGAACAAAGAAAAATGAAGGGACCATGACAATTATGTGGGATACAATCAAAAGAAAAAATTTGCGAGTGATCGGAGTTCCAGAACAGGGGGAGAAAACAGAAAACACAGAGAGAATCATTGAAGAACTGCTGACAGAAAACTTCCCCAGTATCATGAAAGATGAAAAGCTGGCCATCCAAGAAGCTCAATGAACCCCATATAGGAGAGACCTCAAAAGAAAATCACCAAGGCATATCATAATCACACTCACCAAAACCAAAGACAAACAAAGAATCCTGAGAGCAGCTCGTGAAAAACAAGAAGTTACATACAAAGGAGAAACAATAAGACTAAGCTCAGATTATTCCGCAGAAACCATGCAGGCAAGAAGGCAATGGGATGACATATATAAGACCTTGAAAGAAAAAAATTGCCAGCCAAGAATAACATATCCTGCAAAACTCTTATTCAAAAATGATGGTGAAATTAGGACATTTCCGAATAAACAGAAATTAAGGGACTATGTAAAAACCAAACCAAACTTACAAGAATTATTAAAGGGAGCCCTTTGATCTGAGAACAAACAACTTCAGCTCACAGGCTGAATCTAGGACACAGGATCGTACCAGCCAGATACCAATCTAGGAAATGAACTCTCAAGGACTATCCAAAACCAAAAGAAATACAGCAGGGAATCAGAGCAGTTAATCTGTAAATGACAACAACATCAGAACAATAAAAGAGGGAATAAATGGTGTAGGTATAGAACCTTCTAATGGACAGGAAGGCAAGGTGATA